CAGATCGAGTTCTAGGTCAAACTGGTTTGTTCGACTTTCAAGAAATTCGAGTTCTAGTGAGTTCGAGAACCGAGGTACCACTGTACTTCTATGCCAGTCTAGTACAGTCTACATCATCTAGTCAAACCCGTGTTTTACTGCCATTATTTCAGTTTATTGGCAGAATTCTTTGGTGTAATACGGAGCCCGCAGCGTCACCTGCAGGAGAAAAAAAAACAAACCGTGGCGACGGATTTGCAATTCGTTCCCTCAGTTTATAAACCGTACCCACGAATTCTTAAACTGTTCCCTCGGTTTAACAAATCGTGCCCACGGATTAATAAACCGTACCCACGAATTTCCAATCCGTGCGCTCAAATTTTGTAAACCGAACGTTCGGTTTTTGAATCCGTACCCACAGATTCATAATCCGTGCGCACGCTTTCGCAATCTGTTCCCACGGGACTGTAAACTGTACTCATGGATTTGTGGCCCCGCCCCCAGTATTTGCCGGCAGATTTAACCAGCCACCTGGATTCATTGTATTGTTTATTTTTTAAAATGGAGGATTTTCTTAATTTTCTAAAAAAGATAGAGAGTTGCATGACGCGACTCTGTCAGTGTTTCGAGAGGAGAAGGTAAAAAACAATATAAAGCAAATAATGTCCAAATTATGTTGTCATTCCATGTTGTCAGCTCTCTGGCTGAATGCAATGTTATAACTGATGTTATATTTCACAACATGAAGCGAATTTAGGTTGTTGTCACTTTTCCAGTAAGCAAATAGGCCTATGTGACCATGGACCACAAAACCAGTCATAAGGGTTATTTTTTAAAATTCGGGATCTTCTGAAAGCTTTCCATTGATGTATGGTTTGATATGATAGGACAATATTTGGTCAAGATACAACTCTTTGAAAATCTGGATTAAAATATTGAGAAAATCACTTTTAAAGTTGTCCACATAAAGCACTTAGCATTGCATATTACTAAAAATATGTTTTGAAATATTTACGGTAGGAAATTTACAAAATATCTTCTTGGAACATGATCTTTACTTAATATCCTAATAAAAAATCTATAATTTTGACCCATACAATCAGGGGCGGATTAAGGTGTACAGAGGCCCCTAGGCTACAGTAGTCTGTGGGCCCCCCAACCCCACCCCCTCCACGCCAATGGGGGCCCCCTTGCAGGCTGACACACGTGGGGCCCCTAGGCTTAAGCCATATCTAGCCTGTGAGTTAATCCACCCCTGCATACAATGTATTGTTGGCTATTGCTTCAAATATACCCATGCTACTCATTTCTTGTGATTAAAGATCATCTACTTACACAAGACAGTTCAGCTTCACATATAGTAAATACATTCATAAAAATGTTTTAGTGGCAGAAAATATAGTTTAATAATTTATGATAATATCCATAAGAAAGCTTAAAACAAAATGAATCAAAGTGAAATTGCACTATCTGTTGGTAAAAAAAAATAGGCTAATGAAAGGGACAATAAAATGAGTAGTACATTTAATTTTATTTAATTAAAAGGTTAGTCAAACAGATTGTCTTTTACATTTTTTCCACTTTTCTTTTAGATTGACTGCTATGCAATCAACAGTACGTCAGATGAACAGCTACTGGCATACGTCCCAAGATTTGGAGACCGGATAGCGATTAGACAGTACTCCAAAAGAGAAGTAGATGCATTACAAGACAACACCGCAGTATCTAAAGCCACAGAAAACCTCATGTCAAAATTGCAAGGAAAACGGGACAGAAAGAGGAAGCATTGTGATAATCGTTCAGAAAAACTCAGTGGAAACACAAATGCCCAGAAAACTGAACGAAGTTTCCAAATGGGACTGTTTGAAGAGGTCCATGGGATTTCTTCATACTTTAGACCCAGGTCAAAGTAATGTTGAATTAGTCCAAATCTATCCATCCTATAGGGTAAGGAATAAATGATGTGAGCTTAAAGTGGATGGAAGCCTAAGGGTAGACAGAGAGAGAGAGTCAAGGTTATTTAATAGGTTATCTAAAATAAAGCATTCATGAATTATTTTATGAAAAACATACTGTCTTAGGTGCACTCACTTAGAATTATAAAAAAAATAATAATGTTGATAAAAATAGTAATAAATTGTATTATTGTTGTGGTTGTTATTTAATTATTACTATTTTTATTATTACATTTAGGCATTTCGAATAAACTTTTATCCTTACATAGAGGAACAAAGCAATTAGTATAAACTGTCTGTCATATAATAATAAAGAGCTAAGATCATGACAAATAAACAAGATTTTGACACATATCATTCTTATTAAATTTCTGTATTCCACCATGTACCCGCTAGAATCACTGTAAGCATAGTTAAAACAATCTGATGTTTTCCACTTAATAATACACAATAAAACAATATACAATTAGATTCATTAACACGTACCTGGGAGTTTGCTATTCTTCTAAAATGAATCCAATGAGTACAGTTTACAGTCCCGTGGGAACAGATTGCGAAAGCGTGCGCACGGATTATGAATCTGTGGGTACGGATTCAAAAACCGAACGTTCGGTTTACAAAATTTGAGCGCACGGATTGGAAATTCGTGGGTACGGTTTATTAATCCGTGGGCACGATTTGTTAAACCGAGGGAACAGTTTAAGAATTCGTGGGTACGGTTTATAAACTGAGGGAACGAATTAAAAATCCGTCGCCACGGATTGTTTTTTTTTCTCCTGCAGGTGACGCTGCGGGCTCCGTAGTGTAATAATATTTTTCAGCAGTAATTAAATTTTTTTAGTCTTTTGTTTTTAACTATATTTCATGACACTGCTGCAATTAATTCTAAAGTCGTCTGAGCCTAGAGCTTGAAAGACAGTCCATGTGTTGGATTGGCATGCTGTAGAAGGTGTTCCCTTACCACGTTTCCTATGCTGCCTGGGATAGGCTCCAAGTCCACCGTGATCCTGTACTGAAGAAGTCAAGTAAAGATGGACGCAGGCATCTAGAAAAGAATGAATGATTGTTTAATACTTTTTAACTGCAAAGAGCTGACAGTTGATTGCATTTTAAGTTCCCTAATGTTTCTAAACTAGATGCTTTGGCAGACTTTTATAGATACATATGCATGGCATATACTAGAAGAGAGATGTCATTGTATTCACATCTTTCTTATTTAGGCCAATGGAAACAGTGCTGTGATGATGTAATGAAGATTGAGACTCCATCACCAAGGAAACCTGCCATCATCACAGCTAAACAGCAAGGCTCTTTGTATAATGAGATGGGTAAGATTCTGTCTCTCAATACTTTAACTGCAGGATGGTCATTGTTTTTAATAAGACATGTTCTGGATGTGCTTGTTCCTCTATAAATTGAAAATGATGTTAAACCAGCTCCATTTTAGAATATGTTTGCATTATGCATTTTATAATATAAAGTATACAATCTACAATATATTTTGCTAACAATATGCAATATACTTAGCTAATACCGCTGGTAGCCAAAATATAATATGCTGTTTAGCTATGGATGCAATTGGCAAATATATTAAAATTAAATTTCACAATTTATATTTGGTAGTACATTAAATCTGTACAGTTACCCTCTTACATATTTGCCATAGGTGTCATTACTCTCAAATTTAGCGTGACAAGCTATAAAGTTTTAAGTTTTAGAGCGTTTTATCAGTTATTTACAGCAAATTTGCTATCAGCAGCATACCCACAGCTAGGCAGAGCTAAGATAAACATTCATAATAGTACTCTTGGTTGAAGTAGTATTTGTTTTAATTATTCATTTGAACTGTTTTATTTAGAATTGGCAAGCAATAAATAGAACAGCAAGTTGTAAAACACAGGCCACAGTAGAAACTGTGTTAAACCAATACAGGATTTTCTCCAAAGACCCTTGAATCGCAAATGAAAAAGTAATCTAATTAGCTATATTAGGATAACTTTTCTTCAGATAAGATTAGAAAAGTGAAAAAAGAAACGGCATACTTTCTATTAACTGCATTCTGCATCTTCTAAAAGTACAAGAGGATCCATGAGTTCCTCCGCTGTTATTTATCCACCTAATCCTTTGAATACGCTGGGGATGATTCTGTTTCTTTTTCCTGCACTCTGACTTCAGTACACTTTCTCTCTCTCTTCTTTTATTGATTTTCTTAATTCTTTATTTTTAACTGGCCTTTCTGCTTGACGTTTATTGTCTGTCCGCTTTCCCTCTTCCCTGACACACCTCTCTAATGTGTGATTTTTGGTACTCTTGACATTTTCACCGCTGCCTTCTCCCTGCTGTGTTTGATCATTTGCCCCCCCTTCCGTTTCCCCTTATCCTCACCCTCGTATCACACTGCCTCCTGCGCTCTGTGCCCTCCTTGCTTTACCCAGCCACGCCCCTTTCTGCCTCTTCCTCTGAGGGTCTGCTGCTGCAGGATAACGCCGTTTCCGCTGAGATCCGCGCTCTGCTGTCTTCTTATTACAACGACAGGTGAAGTAACAACATGTCTGCCAAAAGTTCACATAATAACACGCTAGTGAGCCGTAGGAGAAAACCGGCCTTTGCCGAACTAATCGATCTATCATGTATTCCTCTCCATTATGTATAAACTCTCGCTTTGTTTTGCTGTAAAAATATGGAAGTATTTGACATTCGGTCAAGCCATTGACAATTTAAACTGTAGAACTCCTAAAAAACCTTTAAATAGACTTCCAACAAACCTTTAAACATTTTTTGATGAAGATTTTTTTCGCGGCTCATTCAGCACAAACCACTTCACAGTAATGTGTACAGTGGTTTTCGTTCCTATATGATACTGATGCAGCAGGATCTCCTGAGGGTTTCCTAGCAAGCAAGACTAAACAAGTTGGACCTGGGCAGTGACATATCTGAGAATATGGATTAAAAAATGCAAAGCAATAGCCACAGGGCTCTGTAAAAAATCCTATTTCTTGTCGGGGTATATATAAATGTCACCAGTTTAAAACTACAATAAACATTCTTAATAACATTGTTAGACTAAGTAATGTGTTACCTAAGCTTACTTAAAAAAAAAAAACAACACATTTAATCCATAAATCAAACTGCACAGCTAGCTTTAGATGTGGTGACTTTTCACTGTTACAATTTAGGGAAGCACAAAAAATTATTAATATTGTTTTTTTGCATTATCTAATACAAATCACTGTTCTGAGAGAGCACTGTGCTGTGCTTCTGTAAATGA